ATGTTTATTGCAGCATTATTCACAATTGCCAAGACATGGAACCAACCTAAATGTCCACAAACTGTTGAATGGTTTGGTAAAGTTTGGTAGATATACTCTATGGAATACTAGTCAGCCATAAAAAATAACAAGACCCTGGAATTTGATAGAAAGTGGTCAGATATGGAGGATCTGTTGCTGAGTGAAGTAAGCCAGAAAGATATTCTGTGTATCCACTCGATATATACAGACTATCTGCACTCTATGATAGAGAGCAAAAAATTGGAGGACATAAAAGCAGTGAAGGTACTTAATGAGAATAGGACAGTGTGGAATGGGCAACGTGAAGAGAAGAGGATAGAGAAAGATAGCAAGTGAACCATAGAGAGGCAGGATGTTAGTGAGAAACAGATATGACTTATTAACTGTTGATGGTGACATGTATAGCATCCTCAACTGGATTGGTCTGAGAAGTATTCATGATGGGCAAAGTATTTTTACAAGCAAAATGAGAAATAGTGATTGACTGTTTTAAAAAATAATTCAACAATAATAATAATGATTGGGGAAAACATAGAAAAGATATTGAATGTTGAAGCGGGGAGATTAATGTCTCTGTACTGACTGACATGTATGGCATTCCCTTTTGAAAAAACAATGTAATACACTGTAAAATTCTATGTAATCCAATAATATAAAGAAGATTATGATGAGAGTGGTCATCTGCAAAGAAAAGTGGGAATGAACTTCTAAAAAAAAAAAAAGCCAATGTGACCCTCTCCTGTCTAGAAGGAAGGGGCTGACATGATGAGACACATAAGGACACCACGTGAATACAGCAACAAGTGGTTAATAGAACAATTAATAAAAATATAGCTCCAAAGAATAATTGTTTAAAGCAGTAGATGGTGGAAGGGATAGGAACAGGTATAGCAGGATACAACAAAGTATCATAGAGTTTACAGTAAGTTTTGCACACATGGCAAGAACCAGATTTTGAAGGTTTAGTCCCTTTATCATCTCTGTCAGCGTTTTTGGGGCATGCCTTGATGTTTCCAAGTTCTGATGTTAGCTTTAGTCAGCTTCTCTCTCTTACTCTGAGCATCTGATGCCAGCTCATAGTGTGCAGGGCATACGTACTGAGAGAGTGCCCAAACTGGACCTGTAGGAGTAAGCACAGAGAGAAACCCCCTTCCCCAGGTTATTAGAGGAGCTGGACCTTGCCAGGATGGATCTGGTGGAATTTTAAAAAAGACTTACTTGGGGATGTTTTTGTATTGTTAAGTAGTACTCCATTGATGTAATTTTGAGTCAAAAGTCAGATTTAGATGATTCAACTTAAATATGGTTAAAGAAAGCAATTTGGCAGCATGACGGGGGGGGCTAGATTCCCCATTTTTTGTTTTAAAAATATGGAGAGCATTAGGTTTATTAAGGCCACCACAGGCTGTATTGTGTTTTTAAGCATGCCTGTCTTTTAGAGGTCCTGATAGCTGACTAACTACTAGGAAGCCCTTTCCTGACAAACTTAAAGAAACATCCTCTTGAGCAATCAAATCAATGCCAGCACGTCCAGCCATAGCATGAATGTAGTCATAAATTTCTGGGCCAGTTGTTTGTTTGGAGCTCTCATTTGTTACTTGGTTGTACTGGGACAAGAATGAGACTTCTTTGGGTCTTAAGCTGGAGGTGTGCCTGGTATTGGGTTTCCCGGACACATCAGTGGAAGAATTGCACTGGTTAGTCCAGTGCAAGCCTTTATCATAGCATTTACATTTGGAGAAAGGCTTCCTTAGTTTTCCCTTACAATCCTTGATTATATCTCTTAGGTTTAATGTTCTTTATGGCCTTAAATGGAGGATGAGGAGTAGAAGGTGCCAAAGAGAGTTAGTAGGAGGTGTGAAAGCTGGTGAACAAGAAGGAGTGGAGGGACTGGGAGTTAACCCTTCCCTTTCTTGGGACAGTTTTCTTTCTGACATTAATGTAGGAGTTCCAAACAAAAATATAGCATTATGACATAAATGCCAGACATGGAGGGTTTCAATAGGAGCATGAGGATCTTTATGCAAGCAAATACAAATTTTCCTCCAATGTTCAATTTGAAGGGATCCCTTTACATGATACCAAAGGCATGATAAGTCAATTTCTTGTAACATTTTAGATATAGTTCTAGAGGAAACAAAATGCTCTGCTCATGCTAGCAAAAAACAAAGTTCATTTCTATGAGCTGTTCTCTTGGGAGAAAGCCGATTCCCCATATTGAGATCCTGGGATCTCCACAGAGATAAGGTGCACCTTATAACCCCATACACAAGCATGGGTCTCAATATGCCGGTGTTTTATATGCTAACCACCTGTTTCTTTGCCAGTTTAAAAAATATATGTTTTATTATTAACCTTTGGGATCAAATGCCAACAAAGCTACCTCAAGGCTATTTCAAATAGAGTATGAACTCCCAGTTTAGGGATGGACTGAAAACTACATATAACTTTCCCAAATCTCTGCCTTCAAATAGGCAGCTGAAAGGCAACTGATACAAAACAACTATGAGAAGTCTTACCAGCTCTCTGGCAAAGTCTGCTCTACAGTAACCTTTCTGGTGAACTTCTCTAGAAGTAAATTGAAATAAGCAATGGCTGAGAACAATTACAGCCTTGTGGGAGGCAAAGTATTCTAATCTTAAATTAATTCCTTGTCACTCCAAGCCCAGGGAGCATGTATCTCCTTTTTAAAGAATTCTCCTAAGAACTTCAAGCTCAGGTGGCGTGAAAGCAAAAGTAGTGATAGAATGCAGGAATCTGGAGTCAAGTCACCTGGGAAAGAGAAGATGCCCAGTCAATTAGATATCACTTGATGTAGCGATGGAACTTGCTATGTTAACTTCACAGCGTGATGAACTCAGGCAAACACAAAGGGAAATCTCTCCAGGGAGAAAAGCAGTAGGGTGTCTGCCTGGCCACGTTCCTGGAGGAACTTTAAGGAATCTCTTGGCTCTGGTAATTGGCTATTAATCTGCCACCAGATCAAGCGTGCAGGGAAGGTACGAGACCCCCAATGTCTGATTTTACTGTAAGGCCATATGAGAATCTCCATGGAACTGAAGGGAAGCACCCACTCAGACCTCATAGCAAGAAGGCCGTGGGGCTATAAACACTTTGATTCACTCAAACAAACAGCAAGCACACCAGAGATTAGGGAACCCCATGAGTATGAGATCTAGGAGCTCTGGGAATTGATCCTCAGTTTTGGCACCAGTATGTGCTGCTTGTACAATGAGGCATAAGTTGGGATATTGATGGCATGGTGCAGTAGAAAATCCATGGCACAGTAGAGTCCGGAGTGCTTAGGTCTAGACATGCCTTGACCATATCCTGATGTGACATACAGGGCAAGATACTTACTGTCATGTCTCAGTTTCATCATCTACAGAGGGGGACTATGATCCTGAATACATAGAAATTAAGGAACAATCAATACATAAATTGGATCTATGTCAGTTCCCATTTTACTAGTTATTTGCTGAATGTCTTTGTTGTGTAATGAGCTCTGTAAGGAAGCAATTTGGATGACTAAATTGCCAAGCATTTCATTTAGATCTGCCAAGTGGTGGAGAGACTAAGGGCAGGCGCTTTGTTATAAACTGGATCTGAGTTTGAGGCCTGGTTTGCTGCTTAATGTGCAACCTCAGATCTATTAATGCTTGAAGTCTCTAAGCCTCAAAGTTCTTTGACAAAATGTAAACTATCTGGGGGTGACGTAAAGCTTATATAAAATTATTTACATGAACTGCTCACAAATGTCCAGAAGACAAATCACTCCATATAAATATAGTCAATAGTTTTTTTAGCATAATGGAGGAACTGAAATGCTTACAAGTGGATAGAGAAATACATTATAAGTGGAGCAAAGAACAATGAAATGGAATTTTGTCTGACCTAGAGGGGGCCTATTGGAGAGCGCTTCTTGGGCTGCCACAGATCCTCTTATTTTCGACCAAGCAAAATAGCCTCCCTATTATAAGCCTAAGAAATCTGTCTCTAGTTGCTAGCTATACTCACTAGTTTCTTTACCCAGAATTAATAAATAGATATTATTTATATGTCATGTTTAGGTTCTCAGGTATTATAGAGGCAAATATGCACAGAAAATCTTATTAGGTGAACAAATTATGATGGTTTTAAAGGGAGTATTTCCATTACATGTTTATTTATTTGAAGGTAGTTAATATGAGGATGATGTTTGGACATATAAAGTTCTAAGCTCTCTTATAAAATTCATAATTTATTCCTGAATTGAAAGTACATTTTGGAGCACTCTTTTCAGGGATCTTTTCACTTCCTTGTTCCGTAAGGAATAGATTAATGAGTTAAGCATGGGGGAGACAATATTATTTAGTATTTGCACTATGGACCCAAGCAGGGGATTGGGTGTGGGTTGCATATAGATGATGATCACAGGTCCATAGGCACAGAGGATGGCAGTGAGGTGGGCACTGCAGGTGGAGAAAGCTTTCTTTCTGCCCTCTGTAGAACGGATTCTCAAAATAGCAATCCCAATGCGGGTGTAGGAGACACAAACACTGAACAAAAGAACTAAAGCCAGAAAGCCCACATTGATGGAACCCACTCTCTGGGCAAGGTAGCTGTCAGTACAAGCCAAAGACAGCAAGAATGTCACAGTAGAAGTGGTCGACCTGGTTGGGGCCACAGTAGGTTAACTGAAAGGGAAAGGTGGTCAGAGTGGTGGCCTGAAGACAACCCACCAAACAGGCTGCCATGACCAAACCAACACAGACTCCAGGTTTCATGATGAGTGTATATCTCAGAGGGTGACAAATGGCCACAAATCGATCATAAGCCATCACAGAGTAGAGACAACCTTCGCTAGAACCCAGGAAGTGATAGAAGAAAAGCTGTGCAGCACAGCCTTTGTAGGAGATGGCTCGGCTCTGACCGGAGAGATAGAATAGCATCTTGGGACAGGTGACAGATGGGAACACCATGTCAAAAATAGATAGGAGCCCCAAGAAGAAGTACATGGGGGTGTGAAGAGTAGAGGAAGAAACGATTGCTATTAGGATGAGCAAATTTCCAAGCAGGGTGAAGAGGTAGATGAAGGAGAAGATGACAAAGAGCACAGTCTCCAGTCCCTCTGTCTCAGGTATTCCCAGGAGAATGAACTCAGTCAGCTGTGTGTGGTTCCTCATGTTCTTGGAGAGATGGTCTGGGTTTTCACAGCAGACATTTAAATGGGAATTCAGAGGCTGATTGCAATAGATATAATATGAATCTATTCATCATCATCAATCTTTGTTTAAACATAAAGATGATGGTAAAATTAATAATTAGAAATTCATTAAAGACAATTAGGGTTGTAAAACATATGTAAATCTTTGTATCTCAAGATATTTCCTTTCTTGAAAAGAAATACAAAGCAAAATGAAATAGTAACATGGTAAATTATTGGATGGGTTCAGAAAACATAGATTTTAATACTGAATGAGTGCATATAACTTAATGAAATTCTACCACCAGTTATATAGCAATGGATGCCCTAAAATAAACCAACATTGAAGTCCGAGACTCCTGATTCCTCTTCTGAGTGTTTTTGCAGTTATTCAAAGATGTGGCCAAATACCCTAAATATTCTTCATAAGTTTAGTTACTCTCCCATACTTCTAATTAGATCAATGGGTTGTGATATATAGCAAACAACATTGACATTTGGGTTATAGTAATATCACTCTAACTGCATATATTCTTTAGTTTTAACATTTTCTTATTTAACAATGTTCACTTGCTTCTAAACAAGCTCACAGTAACAAATTTGCTTATTAATACGGAGTTTTTAACTGTCAAAACTTAGAGGCTAAAGTGAATAATGCGGATTGAAGGTTTCAATGAACTCACACCATATGTAAAAAGATATGGAACACTTAGTGTTTTCTAACAATCGAAATTTTTGAGTACTTAAAAGTTAAGCTAAATCATTTTAGTTCTGCAGCTATTTTTGTGTTTTCCACTTTCAAAAAATTTTTATGTTTATTTTTCTGTGGTAAGAACTCAACATGAGGCCTACTGTCTTAGCAGAGTTTTAACTGTACAATACCATATTGTTAGCTATGGGGACAATGTTGTGGAACCGATGTCTAGGACTTGTACTCAACGTGTGTTACTAAAACTTTATACCCTGTTGACTAGCAATTTCCCTTTCCCTCTGACTCTGCCCATGTCAATCACTTTTCTGCCCTCTGCATCTGTGAAATTGAGTTATTTGTTTTATATTCAAGGAAACAGAAGTCAAGCAATTGGGTATTTTGAGATTTTGAACTTGCCACTGGAGTGTGCTGTGATCAGCAGTTCACAATGCTTGAGTACAAAGCCTCTTAAGAACTCCCCAGGAAGATACAATGTTTTCACTTTCAGTTTTTAGTTTTATAATGTATTTTTGGATATCTAAAGTATTTAAAAATTGTTTAATTATTAATGCTCTGATTTTTAATTATAGATCATGGTCAATTTCACTGGTACTCTCTTATAGTGAATAGTTGCTAGTGTTCATTTTATCTTCCATAAAATTAGAAGATAACATTGGTAAAATAGGTTAACGCTATCCATATCTCTAGACAAGAAATGTATGCAATGGAGTTTGTGTTCTACTAGACTGTAAGATCTCTTAAAGACCCTAATTTTTCACTAAATTTGCAGCTTTTTGTGCAGTGCCTGTGATTGGCTGAGAGTTGACTGTTTGATGAATGAATAGAAAATTGGTAGTTCATTATGGATATGTTCTGACAGTACATTTCTAGAGTCACCACTATGTCTCTAGGGATAAGAAAGTAGTAGCACCCGTAAGTGTGATTATTTTAATAAAATTTTTGATGATCTGATTAAACATTTTTTGTTACTATTATAAAGTTTTTCTATTAACTTCAGAAAGCAATGATTATAGTGAGGTTGACTTTGGCTTGAGAGTTCATGTCACTGAAGAGAATTTAGAAATTATTAAAATGTCCCTAGGGTATGTAACTCCTGAGCTAGGAGAGAAGATGAACTGAGTATCTTTAAAATTGCTGGTAACTCATAATTGCCTCTTCCTGGAGGAAAGAAAGATAAATTGCAGATGGGGCAAAGAATTAAAGAAGAAAAATAGGCCTCCCTGAAGGGAAAAAAGGGAGAAAGTCATGATTAATGAAAAGTTCTATAACAAAAATTAATTAGTGTAAAAATACCTGCAATAAAGCAATTATTTATACAATAATAAATACCAGAATTATATGATTTATGTCAGTATATGTGATAATTAAATATAGCACAGCATTATCATAATATAAATTTATTTACTTTGTTATTATTTATGCTGTTGAGTCTTTAGAGACTCTGTTGGACTGGGTTCTTTGAGTCTTTGATTTATTTTGGGTTTCTTGTTGGAAGTAAGCCAGTAGCTTTCATTTATTTTTCCAGACTTCTTTTGTCTGCTTCCCATCTCCAGACATGAAGTCACCTGCTTTCTGTTCAAGTGATTGACATAAATGTGCATGGCTCCTAAGGGGCCCCATGGTCTGGACTAGTGATCTCTGAACAAGCATCCTGGCAGATTTCTGAACAATTTCAATTAAGCTTAAAGAACAGAGATGGCACACAGAAAACTACTTTGTAGGGAGTTTAGCATGTTCCCTGGATTACATTTTAAATCCCATGGCAAAGAAAAAATGGAGTGCAATGCCTGGCTTTTAAATTATGAAATTGTAGGCAATTAATAGAAAAAGTTGGGCCATTGTGGTGGTTAAGGCAGCTGGATCCCACATGGGTGACTGTGGGGTTCCAGGATTGGACCTGGTGGTTTGAAAAGCATCCAAATCTTGAGAGGAGAAAGGAGGAGAAAAGACTGTGGAATAGCCATCTCCCCAGGGGGTGCCTTCTCACTTTTCCATCTCTCTCTGTCTCTTTCTGGTGAGTGCAAGTGCTCTACAGTAAATTTAAAAAGAAAAGGAAAAAGTGGGTATTTTAAATCAAGATCAAGTGAAGGGAAAATACCAAAGTGTGAGATATCCTTGCAATTGGGATGGTGCAGGGGAGTACCCACTACATGTTTGCTTTAATTAACAGAGATGATACTGACCTCACCGAATTGCTTTACTGATTAAATATGATTATATTCATGAGATAACCTCGTGAGAGATGAAAGATCCTATTATTAGCTGGAAGAGAGGAGACAACAGGGTAAGAGTGATGAGGAAAGATAAGATTTTTAAAAAATTTTATTATTATTATTATTATTATTATGTTTAATTTGATCAGAGAGAGATGGAGAGAAAGAGAAAGTGGGAAAACAAGCCACCATGTCATCTTCCAGCCCCAAAAATAAGATCTTTAGGGCACCAGATTTCAGTTTTAAGTCTATGGTCTTACTAATTTTGTGACTTTTTTGGTGGCTTCGATTGATTTATATCTAAAATATGGATAGTGTTACACTATAAGGACTGATCTTGAGATTAAAGATGATTCTGTAATTTGAAGCATCTGACACATTGCAGGTACCCAGCTCAGTTCTCTGCTTCTATCTTCTGTGCTAGTGTAAAAACACTGTTGGGCTCACATTTAGAAAACACTCCTGGGACCCAAAGGAGGTCTCCTATGAATATCGCTTTGGTACAAAAATAAAACGTAATTTAATAGATGGAGAACAATGTGCCTGGTGCCTGACGCATCATTCCTGGCAGTCTCTCCAACCATTAAAAACACAATAAGTAGGAGGCATGCTAATACAAAATATCAGACACATAGGGCAAAGCCTGAGTCACACTGTTTATCATTCTTAGTAGGAATGACAAACTTTAAACTAGTTAACTATTTATTTTACTTAATTAATGTTACTGGTGCTAGGAGCACGTTCTACTTCTTTAAAGATGATAACTTGCAGTAGGGAGATGGTAAATTACTTGCTCATAGACACATTGCCAAAAATCAGATCTTGACCTTGGATCTTTGGACTCTGATCCAAGTTCTCTGTAATATGCCAAGTTGATTCTAAAGCAATATAAACATCATTTTCTGTAAGATCAGTTTTCTGCAAAAACCGAAAGTTAAAAAAATCCGTGGGACCAGCAGTTAGCGTAATGGCTATGTCACTGGACTCCCACGTGGTCGACCACGGTTCGCGTCCCAGACCTGGTGGCTTAAAACTCACGCTGGGCACATGTGTGTGCATGCCCGAGAGGAGCGGCCATCCCCCCTAGGGGGTGATTTCTCGCTTTCTGTCTTTCTGTCTCTCTCTGTCTGTCTGGCGAGCGTACGCGCCCTCTCCCCCCCACCAAAAAAAAATCTGTAAGAAATATCTCATGAAAATACAATCATTTTAAATTGAGATGTTATTTGTCATGATTTTTAAAAATTAGTTTTATAACTTTAAATATAATTTCTTTTAAATCGTAAGCACTCAAACTCCTTACTATTTCTAGACCAGTGACTAGCCAGGTTCATAGGTGTCAAAGACACATGAAACTGAGAACTGTAACTCAAACAGCAATTGAGGGGTACACCTGTAGTAGAAATAGACACAGCTTGCCTAGAAAGTTTGACTGAAATCATGGCTTATTACAAAGAACTTGGATCAGAGGTCCAAAATCCCAAGTTCAAGGTCTGATTCTTGGTAGTGTGACTACGAGCAAGTAATTTATAATCTCTTTATCTCAAGTTCTCATCTTTAAAAAAGTAGAAAGTTTTCCTAGCACCAGGAATTTTAAATAAGTTAAGTAACTTAGTTAACTTAGTTAAAATGTGTCATTACTACCAGAATACTTTTGAAATCTTATGAATATTAACTAATATTAATAATTAAGGCAGGTCAACTAGGGTAAAACAGAAAAAATTTCTGCCGCACCACTGTATAATCTCTTTAGCTATATGCCCTTGGTTTGTACCCCACAAATCTTTATTTTGGCATCTACCACTGTAATCTGTTCCTTGAAAATGAGGGATGTTCTCCGTGTGCTTGCTATATCATGGGCACCCACTTAACATGTCTTTTTTATGACCTGACATAACATTTAAGTTACAGAATTGCTATAAATGTGAAATATGATGATGTCATAAAATATCTTGATACATAGTAAGAAGCTTTATAATTGTTCATTATTATTTGTTTACTATAGAAAGATTCATCTAAAGCATTAGTGAAGTTACCTGCATAAAGACGATAGTCTAT